GAGAGAGAGAGAGAGAGAGAGAGAGAGAGAGAGAGAGAGAGAGAGAGTTTGTACCTAGTGCCTACAGAGCACTAGTCCAGAACAGAGTTTGTATTTTGAGTTTGATTGTGTGTTTGTGTGCATGTGTGCGTGTGCAGAAGGAAGCTCTACTGTTGGACCATAGACCCCACTCCACTATTCCATACTGCTTCTCGTTTGTCCCACTCAGCTCAGGAATATTCCCTGCTTGACCTCTGTTGCCATTTGAGTGTGTGGCTCTCAAGCTGGACACAGATACTGAGGTTAAAAATAATGGGCAAGAGCTGGAGATATAGCTTAGCTGACAAAGGACCCGCTGTGCGAGCATTAGGACCTGGATCCAGTCTCCAGCACCCACATAAAGTAGTTAACAGCACACGACTGCAGCCCCAGCATTGAGAGTGTAGAGGTAGAGACAGGTGGCTCACTGGCCAGCCAGCCCAGTCAAATAGATGATCTCCAGGTTCAGGGAAACACCCTGTCTCAAAGAGTGAGGTGGAAGGCAATTGAGGACAGCATCTCAGTATCAACCTCCAGCCTCCTTTGCCCTTGGGGAGACAGTCTTGATAGGCATCCTTCCCTGTGTAATGGTAGTGTTTGGTATCTGCCATAGGGGGCACTGAAGAGCACTTCCCAGGACTGTCATCTTCCTCAGAGCAGTCTGAGTGCTCCTCTGGTGAGAATCATGCAGTGGATGAAGGCTCCCAGGACCTTTCACACTCTGAGCAGGATGACTCCTCTGAAAAGATGGGCCTCATCTCTGAAGCCGCCTCCCCTCCGGGGAGCCCTGTGCAGCCCACACCTGACCTGGCGTCAGCCATCAGCAACTGGGTCCAGTTTGAAGATGACACACCATGGAGCAGCACCTCACCACCTCACAAGGAAACAGGTGAGCCGAGAAGGAAGTTAAGGAGGGTTCTGGTGTGGTACAGGCTCTTGGAAGGGCCTTTTCCGTACATAAGAGGTCTGTAAGACTTCTGGGGTTCAAGTTCTTTCTGAGCTCCAGGTCCTGGAAACACAAAGGAGAGAGCAATGGCCTCCCTCCCCCCCCTTTTAACTTTACAACAAGGTTTTGCTTGAAGTAAGCACATAAAACAGCATGTGTGTTCTGGGTCACTTTCAGAGTTTTAACTCCTGGCCCTGGCTATTGATTTGTCTGCATGGATACTTATATATTTGATCTATTAGGAATTAAAATTACCTTCAGTCAGCTCCTATATTGTAAGCTCCAGACACATAGACATGAGCAGTGCTCTAGTGTGACCCACTGACCATCTCTAAACAGGAACAGATTTATACCCGAGACCTTTGGAATCAAAATCCTCAGAGAAGGAGCTGGTCATAAAAGCTAGGGCTCCTGTTTTACTCTACTCTAACTATCAGAGGCTGCTCTGTGAAGCTCAGAGAAGACAGGCAGTCGTCAGTACTCATCCTTCCCCATCCCCCATACCACACCCCACTCACCACCCCGAGTCCCATGCTCACATGTTCACATGACCACTTACTGTGCTCCAGCGTACGAGGGCTGGATAATCCTGGGATTGTATTGGTACTCTACTTGCAGCTGTAACAAATTACCTCACACTTCGTGGCTTAAATAATGTGAGCTGATCACCTGTAATCCTGCCTTTCAGTAGTCCAGAATGGTGTTCCATTTTCGAGATTGTAGGCAAGAATTCACTTCCTGGTCCTTTGCAGACTCCATAGGCCTTCCAAGTTCTTTGACCTGGGATCCCTTCCTCTGTCTCCAACACCAGATACTATAGTATTGTTCTGTGCCGTGGTTCTGAAGTGACATATTTCTAGTGTCCCCCTCTTCCACTTTTAAAGACTCTTGTGGTTATATAGGGCTTAGATGAATAATATCTGTATCTTAATGTCTCAGTCAATTGTTGAGGGAAATATTTAAAACAGTGGCACCCAATCTTATATTACGGAGCTGCCATGTTCCTGACTAGGCTAGGTGGCTTGGCTCAGGCCACCTGCTCAGGTGGCCAGAGACACTGGCTCTGCCTCCCACGAGACACCAGCATTGGAGATGGCTCTGCCAATCTTCCAGGCTGTCTCCACAAGGTTGGGCTGAGCCCAGAGCATCCCGCCATCCACACAGTACCTGTTAGGAATTAAACTCTAATGCTCAATGATTAACCGAAAGCTTTATATGTTTGATAATGCTCAATAAACAAGATGCTCACACAATTACAGGTGTTTTCCAATTAACTAACCTAAGATATAAGTTGTTACTCAGGACTGCTCTCGGTCCATGCGTGGTTCTCCATCCTCCTACATCTCAGTCTCCCTTGATCCTCCTCTTCCTTCTCCTCTTCCTCCTCTTCCTCTCCTTACTCCTCCCACCTTAGCTCCTCTCAACTTTCAGGGAAAATTTCCCGCTATAAGTCAATGTTCTATTTATTGCCATGAAGAGACACCATGACCATAGCAACTCCTATAAAGGAAAACATTTAGCTGAGGCTGGCTTACAGTTCAGAGGTTTAGTCCATTACTGTCATGGCAGGAAGCATGGTAGCACACAGATAGACCTAGTGCTGCAGAGGTAGCTGAGAGTTCTACATCCAGATTGTCAATCAGTAGGAAGGAGAAAGAGACACTAGGCCTGGCTTGAACACTTGAAACCCCAAATCCCACCCCTACTGACACATTTCTGGGTCACAAAAGGGCCACATCTCGAAATTCCTGTCAGGTAGTGCTACTCCTTAATGGCCAAGCATCCAAATCTATGAGGCTATGGGGGCCATTCTTCCTCAAGCCACCACACTCAAGTTCCGTAACATAATCATATCTGCTCAATCCCCTTGCCGTGTAAGGTAATAAATCCACAGGTCCTAGGATTTAGAAGGAAGATATCTTATGTACAGAAGTGGAGGATATTGTTCTCTCTACTACAGAGTTAAAAAGGTAGGCTTGGTATGTTTTCCTGTTGATGGGTTAAATAGTTTGCTAGTTTTGTTTTGTTTTTTGTTTTTTTTTTCTTTAAAGGAAAAAAAACCCTATGATCTGAAGTAAGGCCTAGTTGTAAAGCTTGGAGAAACTTAGTAAGATCCTGTCAAAATTAAAAAAAAAAAATTTAAAAGGCCAGTGTGGTAGAGCATTACCTAGAATACCCATAGATAGTTCTACATGGTCTGAGCATGCTTCTAGTCCCACCTACTTGAGAGGCTGACTGAATGATCACTTGAGCCCAGGAGTTTGAGACAAATTTAGGCAGTGTGGTAAGAACTTGTTTGAATTAAAGCTGTCTCCAAAAAGCTGAGAAAGCTTGACATTGCAAGTTGGTGATGTTGTTTGGGGTGGAACCCTGAGCCAGATCCTTGCAGGAGGAAGTACACAGGGGTCGGAGTGGCTTTGACAGTTCACAGCCTCATCCACTTCCAGTTTGTTCTCTCTACTTCCTCCATGAGGATGGAAGTGTGATCTCTTGGTTTCTGGCTCTGCTAACTCGCCATCACCACCATTGTTGATTCTAACCCTCTGGGACTGTACATCAGAATAAGCCAGAATAAACTTTCCTCCCTAAGTTGCCCTTGATCGTGGTATCTCATTACAGCAACAGAAAACTAGCTAATGCAGACCCATCTCTAAAAATAATTTTCTTTTTTCTTACATGCCTCCATGTCATTAAAAATAATTTCAAGAAAATATAAAAGTGGTCTGGAGGGATGGCTCAGTGATTAAGAGCTCTTGCTGCTCTTCCAGAGGACCTGGGTTTGAATTCCAGTACCTACATTGACAGCTCACATCAGTCCGTAACCAGGTTCCAAGGGACTCTAATGTCCTTTTCTGGCTCTCTTAAGGCACTGCATGCATGTGATGCACAAGGCACACATGCAAGCAAAACACCCATGCACATAAAATGAAATCTAGTTGAATTTTAAAAGAATATATTAAAATACAATTCTGCCGAATAACACGGGTTTTTGTTTGGACAAAATACTTCACACATTCAGATGTACTTTTTCATATTTAATCATCTGATTTTCAGTGATTTGTTGGTGGTTGAACATGATGCTCAAAGCAGTGTGGATGATGTGACAGATCCAAACTGATTCAGTCTGGCTGGAGAGAGGGGAGGTGGCCCTTCCTGACACTGGGCTCTTCATTCTCCATGCAGGAAAACTATGGAACACAGGTGCTGTGGGTTCAATGTCTTGTCCCTCCAGGACTCGTGTTGAAATCTAATCACCAATGGGTTGGTATTTTGGGGTCTGTGGGAGATGACTAGTTCACCTTGAGGGGAACCTTTGTGAACAGGATCCCTACAATTATAAAAGAGGCTTGAGGGAGCATGCGCCTCCTTCCATTGTACTGTTTAACTTTCTGCCATGTAATGACACCAGCTGCTCTCTGCACCCTCACCAAGTCCTATTTTAGTGTCTTCATCCTGGCCTTCCCAGCCTCCCAACCTGCGAGGATTAAATTTATAAGTTACCCAAACCACAGCATCGTATTATGGAAGCAAGAACAGAAAAGCCAATCACGCGATCAAGTACAAAAGTGTGGTTATTGTTACTATTTGGTTTTGTAGAAAGGGTCTCATGTAGCCCAAGCTAACCTTTAATTTTCTATGTAGCACAGGCTTACTAGCCTTGAACCTCTGATCCTTCTGCCTCTACCTCCAAAATAGTGAAATTATAGATAGGCACCACCAAGCCACGCTGGTGTTTGTTTGGTTGTTCACTTGGTATGGTTGGTATGGTTTTTCTGTGTATCCTTGGCTGTCTTGGAACTAAGCCTGTAGACCAGCATGGCCTACCTCATACTCCAGGGTGCTGGGATTAAAGACATTGTTTTAGGGCTTCATTATTATGAAGAGACACAAGACCAAGGCAATTCTTATAAAAGAAAATATTTAATTGGGGCTGGCTTACAGTTTCAGAGGTTTAGCTCATTATCATCATGGTGGGAAGCATGGCAGCATGCAGGCAGACATGGTGCTGGAGAAGGAGCTGAGAGTTCTACATTCTTGATTCAAATGCAGCCAAAGGGGACTGAGTCACTGGACTTAGCGTAAGCATAGGAGACCTTAAGGCCTGCACCGACAATAACACACTTCTTGCAACAAGGCCACACCCCTAATAGTGCTACTCCCTATGGGCCAAGCATTCACATAGGATCTATGCGGGCCGTTCCTGTCCACACCATTGCAGGCATGCACCACCACGGCCTGGCTAAGCCCTGCTGGTCTTTATTTTCAGTAAGTTACGTTTGCTGACTCCCAGTGCTCTCACTGTATCGTCTTACATATTATTTACATTACCATCTAAGGAAAGTATTGGTATTACGTCCGAGTTTCTGTGAGGACACTGGGGCAGGGTTGAGAATTTGCTCAAGGCTATAGGTCACTAAGAAGTGACAGAAGAGAGCCTTATCACCTGGCGCACTGGCCTCGAGACCTTAGAACAGTCAGAGCTGAGGTGTGGTGTTGCCTCTCTCTTCCTCTCCCGCTGTCACTGCCCCACTTCCCTTCTAACACGCCTGAGACGAGGCGTGAAAGTAGTGAGATTATAGAAAGGGCTGGGAGGCAATGGGCGGGAAAGCGAGCACATCCTCGATAAGAATTGAAGCATCCGGATTCTTTCACATCTTGTTCAGACTTAACTTTAGCCGCTAATTGCTCAAAACTATTCACGTGACAGATGGGTCCCCTTGCTGCAACTCTTCACCACTTACTTTTACAAAAGTAATTTGAAGATGGCACAGGCCTATAATCATGGCATTTGGGAGGCCGATGCCGGAAGCCGACAATTCAAGGCCACCAAAAAATTAAAAAACAGCATATTTTTCTGGGTGGTGGTTGGTGGCGCACTACTTTAATCCCAGCACTTGGGAGGCAGAGCCAGGGAGATCTCTGAGTTTAAAGCTAGTCTGGTC